CTTGTCCTTTTACCACAGCAGGCACCCAACCCCAGGCTTTCCCAGGTCACCCCTCCATCTTCACTCTCTGGCAGCTCCTTCATACCCAGAAGCATTTCTCTGCTAGGACATCACTGCTTCCTCCCCACACTCCAAGCAGTGGGGCAAGAGAACTGAAAGTTCCCCAGCCAGTTACCAGAAACCAGTCTGTCACTCCACACCCTCAAGGGATATAATCCAAGCTCAGCAGCTGTGAGGAATAATCCCTTCCTCACTGGTAGCAGATGCCCAAATAGGCACAGAGGACACACAGAATGGAACCAGCTGGGTTGGGCTGCAAACTGAAACACTCACCAGAGCCAGCACAGTACTCTCACTTTCAACTTACATTTCTCTTCCCCAGAAGCAGCTTCTGGCTTGCAGTGACTCCAGAAACTGCTACAGCTTCTCTGACACCTCCCACATCTAAACTCAGGACTTGTTTCAGGATTCCTAGGGTTTCTTGAAGATTCAAGCAAAACTACTCCCTGTTCAGTGCAGTTTACCTGTCCAACTGGTAAATCAGAACAAAGCAGAGCCCTTCACAATAACATAGACATCGTACTGGTTAACATTTCTAGGTTTCAGAACCAAAAGACTATAAATAGATATTGTGGTACTAATTAGGACACCATGATAAACACCTGATCTAGAAGCCCAGGAAACAGCAGAGATCATTACAGTGCCCAATCCAGGTAGAATTTTAGAACAGTTGGGGTTTTTTGTATTTGTTAGAGATGCTAAGAAAAGAAAAAAGCTGGATCACTTAAATACAAGGCAGTGATGACCATCAGCTAGCAGACTTCTGCCTGACAGACATGACATTTCTGATGTGCTTGCAGACACCCAGAGGGAGGAAATGCCCTCAGCCACCCAAGTCTCTCAGTTCTGGGGAGAGGCCTGAGCTGCTGCTTTTACAGTTCCACCCTCTGCAGTTTTAGCATCAGCTCCGGATGACTCGGTGTCACTTCTGCATTCTAACAAAAGAATCTGCCAGTGCAAGCAACTGTGTACAACCTCTGACTGCTACTGAAATGGGTATTTGTTCCCAAAGACAGATGAATCCAGGGGTTTTCCACACAGCCAGGCTCTTGGAAGGAGCAAGGAGCCCTTCCACAAGGGCTCACAAGTCAGATTTTTCTGCTTATTGCCAGCTACCTTTTAAAAACCTTCTCCCCTTACTGTCATTCAAGCAACAGCCCACAAACAAGGCTTCAGAAGTAATTACATCTGCCACTACCTAAAACCCATTAATTTTTACAGAGCAGGCTTTCTAATGAAAGCTGTTTAGGTGCTCTCCAGAGAGCACTAAAAGATCCTGGTGTTTATACAGAGCCCTCACTTCCAGAGGGCCTTGTTTTGACACCCAGGAATTAGCCAGCAGAGGATCTGGCCAGCAGCTATCAGCAGCATTAGCTGCTGGAACTACTTTTTAGTCATATTCAGCACAAGCAGCTAAAGTTTCCTTTTAATCAGGATTCTAAAAGGACATCTGAAAGTGCACTGCAGCACTACAGAGCACATGTGAAGCCTGGATTTTGTGGCAGTTTGCTGTCACCACTCTGACACTGAGCTGAACAGTCCTGAAGTGGTCTGGTTACACACAGCCACAAAAATTGAAGCACTGGTTACTTACTCTATGGAAAACACTTCCCCAAATGTGTGACTTCAAGCTGAAGAACTCCAGTGATGCAAAGGTTTAATTATTTTGCTTAAAACACCGATAAAGAGGGAACAACAGCTCAATGTGGTCACACTGCAATGGCATTCCTCAGCAAGTGCAGTGCTTGCCAAGGAAGCAGAAGGCCCAGAGCACCTGTTGCCTGGGGCTGTGTAATAACGTGTCCCTCTCCTGCCAGAGGGATCTCTGCATCACTCTCTGCAGGAACCTGCAGGTCACACACCTCCTGACAGAGGGAAGGGCTCCATAAACATCCAAGGATGTTTATGGATTCTGAGCAAAAGCCTTGCTGGTGACACTCCTCCTGACAGAGGGAAGGAATCCATAAACATCCAAGGATGCCACACTCTGAGCAAAAGCCTTGCAGGTCACACTCCTGACAGAGGGAAGGGCTCCATAAACATCCAAGGATGCCACATTCTGAGCAAAAGCCGTGCTGGCTCACCCTGTTCCACCCAAGCCATGGCCTCCTCAGCACAGCTTTGGCCATGCAGGGCAATCCCCCGCGTGCCTGCAGAGCACAGCCTGGGGCTGAGCACTCCTGGCCCAGCTCAAATGGGAATGGTGCAACAGCAGCAAAGCCCAAGGTACAGTCAGGATTCCCCAGGAATGCTCTGCTGACCTCCTACAGTGAGGGCAGAGCTGGTGGCAGGGATGTCAGGAGCAGGGCAGCCTCACCTTCTGTAGCCCAAACTGCTTCATGGAGGCTGTGTGTCCTTGAGAGGGCACCATCCCTGTCCAGGAGCTGGCTCCTTGCAGCAGCTCACCTCCCTGCTGATTCCAGGCTCAGCAGCATGCAGGAGCAGGAGACCAGTATGGTCTCATTGCTTCCAGAATGTGCAGCAGAATTTGTCCTGCAGAGCCACCACTTGTGAGTGATAACAGCAAGTCCCAGGCCATGACACAACATTTTGTCTTCACTGATTGCTTTGTGGAAGAGGTGCTACAATACATGCTCTCAGCATTTTGATCCAGAACATTGCAGCAGACTGAAGCCCTTGAACACCATGGAGCTACTGACATTAGGAAATACCAAGGTATTTACTCAAGCTCAGCTTGGAAGTCCCACCACTCACTTCACATTCTGAAGTGCCTTTTCCTCCCCCATGACAGATTACACCTTATTTTCCACTGCACTTCCAATCACCTTTATCCTACCCTCCCTTCCTCTTCCTACATATCCTGATCCTCTCCTGCTTTGCCACCTCAGGGTCAGTTTTCAGTTTATACTTAACAGTGGCTCCTATTTGAGTTAATTCCTAATGAAGTTTCCTTTACAGGCATGACTTTTATCTCTTGGTCACACACCAGTTCCATGTTGCTGTTTCTCTGCCCAAACAGAAACAGACAAGATAGGAGCATTTGTATCCTCCCCCGTGCTGCTGGAATCCCGAGACAGCCCTACAACCTAAAACAAGCTAATCTTTGTCCATTGAGCATCAGAGTTTAAAGCTACTCCAGCCCCCACCATGAGAACATTTTCCCCTCCCCCCAATACTCCTGTCTGAGTTAGAAAGGCACATAAACACTCAAAAGTTACCAAATGTTGCAAGAGAGTTGATATTTGACCTTCCCCTCGAGTATTCTCCAAGGGCAGACACTTTCTTAATACAAAGAGTTTCACATGCAGCAGAAAAGAAAGCCTGTGAAAAAATGCACAGCTCAAAGCAAACTACCAGAAAATCCTTCTTCTACAAACTCTTGCCTGTCTTACTGACTCAGGATTGTTTCAAAACAAGATTCATACGGGAAAGAAGCAGAGAAAAGGAAATTAACCAGAAGTCAATAAAGGCTGGTGTATTTCTAGCCCCCCAAGTTAGTTAATATACATGCTCCAAAGAGCTGGAGAAAACACAGGCTGGAGAGACTTTCAGCACACCTAAGAGCTTAAAGCAAAGTCATCTTCCTGCCAGCGAAGCTTAGTCACAATGCAAAACCACATGCAGATGTGACAATATGAAAGGCAAATGGGTGACTTGCTGACTCTTACAGGGCTGCCTTGCCTTCTTCCCAAGGTGTGCTGAGGGTAGTTATTAAACCAGGCAGTTTAGGTAGGTTAACCCAAGCAGCTCGTCCAGCAGAAGAGAGAATTCCAGTCACTGCCTGCACTACATAAACATTAATTCACGAAGTTCCTGCTTCAGCATTTCACTTGCATTTCCTCTGAGGAGCTGAGAGTCTTAACACTAGGAAATCCCCTGTGCTGCTTGAAAGGGGAGACACGAAGCTCCTTGGCACTTACAGCTTCAACACTTCTCCGGAGAAGGGAAAGCCAAGCGAGAAAGGAAAACCTTGCTGATGTGACAGCCAAGGCAGCGGGGCAGCGCAGGTGAGGTGACAGCCGGCAGCCCAATGACCGCGGAGCACAGCCGGGAAGGCCGGTCACATCCCCAGCACGGCACCTGGCCCCCGGGGAACAGCGACTTTAACCCCCTGCAGCACTTGGCCCAGGTCCTGCTCCGGCACTCATCACCTGCCAGGCCCGGCTCCGCAGCTCCAGGGCCGCGGGTATCACCTGCTCCGCCCGGGCACAGAGCGCAGCCCGCACCGCCCTGCCCTTCCCTCCTCTTCCTCCTTCCCGCCCCGGCTCTCATCCTCCCGCCCGCTCACCTTTCCCCTCCGGGCTGCTCCCCTCGCCCACCCCGGCCGCTCTGACCCCCTGCCCTCAGGAGACCTCAGCACGAGGATTAAGGGGATTTATCTTCTTTTAAAAAGTCCTAAACGCAGCAGAAGCCAAAGCCCCGTCACTGTCCCAGCGCTGCCTGGGCAGAGGGAGCCGGGAGCTGCCTCTCACACCGCGGGGCCAGCTCGGCTGTGCCCTCCCCGCCGTCCCAGCCGGGCTCAGGCCGCTACCCTCACCTTGTCCTGCGAGTCCCCACGGAGCAGAGCCATATCTCCGGGTGCAAACAGCCACCCTACACCTTTCCCTCTCTGCTCCTCCCCGCCACCTCCTCCTCATATAACCCGGGCGGAGCCGCCGCCGCCACACCCCCCGAGGGGCACTCGCCATCTTTGGTGAGGGCAGGGCGCTGCTGCCTTCATTCGAGACGGCACAGCAACGCTTTATTTTTCAGCTTACATTTAAAGATTTGGGTTGTCTTCCTTTACAGCCTTTCAAAAACTACCAAAAGAGAGCGAGATAGAGCAGGCACGCCCCTCTCGCCACTTTTCGGTGCGCTCCAGCGAAGGGGAAAGGGTTGGGGGCTGGCAGTGAGGGAGAACTACAAGTCCCATGAGGCAGCGGGCGGCGCATGCGCGATGGGCGGGGCAGAGGCTGTGGGCGGGGCGCGCCTGCGCGGTGGCGCCGGCGGCGGTGGCGGGAAGCGCGGCTGAGGTAACGCGGGTCGTGAGGGCCGGGCGGGCCTGAGGGCGAGGGAAGGACAAGGGACGGGAAAGAGGAAAGGTGCTGGTGTTCCCCTGGCCCACACTGCCCCCGGGTCCGTCAGCGAGCGGCCCGTATGGCCGGGCTGCCGTGGCTGGGCATGTCCGCGTCCGGCGGGGCTCCGTGGCCACAGTGGGTTTCCCCGCTCAGCACAAGGTTTCCCCCGGGGCTGTCCGGCACTGGGGTTTTCAGGCGCATGCAGAAAGTTTATTTGCCTGAGGGCGCTTAGTGGTCACCGGTGTTGGCCCAGCTCTATCATATATCGTAAAAAACGCTGATTTCGTGTTACAGCCCTATTCCCCACTAATTCCCTTCCTAGTGCTGGGAATGGAGCTTGAACTGGGAACTGATGCCTGTTAAAGCTACACTGAACTAAAGCTCACAGCTATGGGCTTGTACTTTAAACGAGGTTGTAAGTTGTCTCTCTTTGTGCTCTAAACATCCCAAAAGAGGGAGGCGTGTTTTTAACCTGGATAGTTCAATAATGTATTTTGAAAACTATGGGGAACTCACAGTTATACCTTCCTCAGTGGATTTGTTCTGCTCAAATTAGGGACAAAGGGCAACAGGTCTGTAGGTGTGTTTGGGAGTGCTCTTTTTTGTTATCTCTGAAATAAGCCATTGTTTTGTTTTTGTTTGCCTTTTAGCTGGACAGGTTTCTGTGGAGAAAAAGCCAAACTTGTTATTATGCAAAACCACAGCTGGAGGTAGGTTTTTATAGATGGGAACTTTTCCTTAAGTAATCCTATTTCCTTCAGTTAAACCATTCATTCTTATACTGGAAAAAAATGTCCTTAGTTGTGTTAGCTCAGTTATTGTTGGAGCTGCAAAGTCAACTTGCTTGGGACAGTAAAGTCCTCTTGGGTTTTTTTTTTTAGCTCCAAGTTATTTTAATTTTTTTCAGTTCTCCATTGTGGCTCATCATGCAACACTTGAAGCAATTCTGCCAGTCTTCAACCACAAATGCTTCCAGAGAGAAGGGAGACTCTTCCCCAGGGGGAAATCTCAATTAAATTCCGTTCTTTGTGTACAAGAGCAGATCCTGACCACTCCGTTTCTTTCTTGTTATCTGCACAGAAATGCCACTTTAGTGATTTGTTGAAAAACATGTGATTCTTCATTCAGCGGGGCACAAGGGTTCCTTATTTCTTAGCAATCCTAGAACCTCTTTCCTTTTGTAAAACAGGACACTGCACAAACATTTCCACAAGTACTGGAAATTCCACAGGTGTATTCCCCAGCACAACAAAGGCTGTTAAATCAGAATTCCTGCTAGTCACTGAAGCACTGTGTAGCACTAAATTTAACTCTGGACCTGGTAATATTTTATATCTCAATAAAAAACACTGATCTGGTATAAATTTATTCCTTGGGAAGTGTTGAGGGAGCAGCTCACTCCAAGTGAATTTATGCTGACCCAGGCATCCTCTTGCTTCCTCTCGGGCCACAAAGCCAGAATAAACTTTTTCTTTTGTGCTGTGGCTTTCTGTGACAAAGGCACAGCCACTGGCCCAGCAGTTGCTCTGTTCTGATTGGTGCATGTCCACAGGGACCATTAATGAGCCTGCTAATAATCATCAGACTGGGAATCCACAAGCTTGGGTACTGTCACACAGGAATAAGAATACATTTTTATTATTTCATTTTCAATCCCAGCTTTGGCACCTCTAGTTACAGGTAAGCTCCAAGAGGGAAGGGATCCATTTTTCTGCACTGATGAAGGAAGTGCCACTATGGAAATGTTGCACTTTATCCAAAAATATGTGCAAAAAAACTTCCTAGAGTTTCCAGTGCAGCCCTGGAAGGTGTGCTGAGCATGGTATTGCTTGTAGGCTGTTCTTGCTTTTAATTTTCTAAGTGGCTTTGAGCACAGCTGTGTTTGAAATTTGCTTTGGAAAAATGTGTTTATATTTCATTCTGAACTTTAAAAAAAATTTCTTTGAATCTGAAAATATTTGCAGTGCATCTGGTTCCTCTTTGCCTTTTCTAGCTTCAAGCCTCACAGTTGTATGTATATACTGCTGTCTGTTTTCTCCTAGTGATACAGAAGAAAATTGTGGGTTAATACCCTGTAAGGTCTAGTAAGAGGAAAGGGATCCATTTTTCTGCACTGATGAAGGAAATGCCACTATGGAAGTGTTACATATTATCCAAAAATGTGTGCAAAAAAACTTCCTAGGGCTTCCAGTGCATCCCTGGAAGGTGTGCTGAGCATGGTATTACTTATATGCTATTCTTGCTCTTAAATTTCCTAAGTGGCTTTGAGCGCAACTATGCTTGAAACTTGGTTTGGAAAAATGTGTTTATATTTTATTCTGAACTTTTAAAAAATTTCTTTGAATCTGAAAATATTTGCAATGCATGTGGTTCCTTTTTGCCTTTTCTAGCTTCAAGTCTCACAGTTGTATATATATAATGCTGTCTGTTTTCTCCTAGTGATACAGAAGAAAATTGTGGGTTTATACCCTGTAAGGTCTAGTAAGAGGGAAGCCCCAAGAGGGAAGGGATCCATTTTCTGCACTGATGAAGGAAATGCCACTATGGAAGTGTTACATTTTATCCAAAAATGTGTGCAAAAAAACTTCCTAGGGCTTCCAGTGCATCCCTGGAAGGTGTGCTGAGCATGGTATTACTTATATGCTATTCTTGCTCTTAAATTTCCTAAGTGGCTTTGAGCAGAACTATGCTTGAAACTTTGGTTGGAAAAATGTGTTTATATTTTATTCTGAACTTTAAAAAAATTTCTTTGAAAATATTTGCAGTGCATGTGGTTCCTCTTTGCCTTTTCTAGCTTCAAGTCTCACAGTTGTATATATATACTGCTGCTGTCTGTTTTCTCCTAGTGATCCAAAAGAAAATCATGGGTTTATACCCTGTAAGGTTCCCCACAACCCCCTTAAGTTGGTTATTCTCTCTAAATTTCAGAGTTTTAATACCTCACAGCAGTGGATTGGCTTCATTGTCCTCTGTGTAACTTTAATTTCACCCTCTCCCTGTTGGGGGTTGTTTTTGGCAGATCTGGATTTTGTGCCTGCCTCCATGGCAGTTCTGGTACTGTTGCTGTAGGGATGTCCTGTGATGCAGCTTTAGCTGCTTGCAACAAATCCTCAAGTGATTCAGATTTCAGATTTGGCTGTTCTTTTCAGGAGCATTTCCTCTCTTCCTTGCTCCTTGTTTTTTTATCTTATTGATCTGAAGAATAAAGGTGACACAAGCTAAGTGAAGACACTTTGGTCATAGCAGTTCTTTGTTGGGCAAAGGGCAGGAATAGGATGGTGGCAGAGTTTTTTGACTCTGTAAATCACAAATTTCTTTTTCCACAGGAGGAAACAAATATGGTAACCCACAGAGTGTTGGTGACAGAAGGAAGAAAACTCTAACTGCTCACAGCCACTTCTTGTCAGGATGCAATTCCTACAGATCCTGGCCAGGAAGCCAGGCAGCCTGGAAGTGCTTTTTCAAATACCATTTTGCCAAAAGCAATTCCCATACTCGTGTCTCTCTACCTCTGCCTGTGTTTACAGCAAAAAGAAAAAAGGAAACAGTTATGACCAAGTTGACCAAGAAAAATACAAGAATCTGGTCCACTCTGTTATATCTTATAAAACCAGTGCCCAAACCCCAGAGACAATACTTGAGGAAGATAATTTGTTATATGGGCCACCAGCTAAACACACACCTCCAATTAAAGCTGGGACAAGAACTCCCAAGAATTGGATTCCTTTAATAAACCCCAGCAAGAGAATTCTTCCTGCCAGCAGTGACTCAAAGGTGCCCCTGAAAATCAGGCTGCAAAGAGCAAAGCTGCCCAGCGTTACCCGCATCCTTCAACAAACCCTCTCTCCTCAGCAGGTCTTCTATCTGGAGAGATGGAAGCAGAAAATGATAGAGGAGCTTGGAAAAGAGGGATTTGAAGAGTACACCAAAAGTAAGTCTGGCCACAGTGGGATTGTAGAATGGAAGCTGTAGTTTGGATTGCTGGCAGGTACAATGGGATGAGTGGTTTGGAAATCCATGAGGTTGCTTCATGAGAGGATGTTGTGAGTGTACCTGTTACCAATGAGCCTAAGCTCTGTCTTTGTTCTGGGACCACTAAAATGGGTTTAGAAATTTGTAGAAAGTGAGAGTCAGACTGTAGGCATACTTTGCTCAATCCTGTCTGACTTTCCTTTAGTTCTCGATTAGCCAGTATCTAATTAGAAATAGGTATTTTCCAGGTGATGTTACTGAGACTCTTTGCAGTTACAAAGCTGCTTTGTAATAAGATGGAAACAGGCATTTTGAACTCATGGAGTCCTGAGCCTTTAAAAACCAATGTCCTGCTGTTTATGGTGGGGTTTTTCAGTAACTGGTTTATCCAGTGAGACTGAAAAACTAAAGGAAGCATTTCTAAAGGGATACGTACCAATTTCCCTACTGAAAATTTATTTTCTGTTTCTTTCCCTTCTCCCCACACCCTCAGACTTTCAGTACAAAAATTGGGACTGGTTTAAGAGCTACATTGTGGAATATGTAAGATACAAATCCAAAGTAGTGTCTAAAAGGTGAGGGGGTGAAAAAACCCCTTTGGCCAGGATTTTTCTCCTGAGAAGTTGAGAAGCCTCAGAGAAAAGGAAAACAATTCTTTCCTCATTTGCTTCTCCTGTGTTTTGCTCCTTTGGGATGTGTTTGGAGATTGTTTACCCCCAGGTGATTGTTTCATTGGATTCTGCTGTGAGTTGTTTTTACTCTTTGGCCAATCAGGGCCAAGCTGTGTCGGGACTCTGAAGAGAGTCACGAGTTTTCATTATTATCTTTTTAGCATTAAGTATCTTTCCTGTATTCTTGAGTATAGTTTAATATAATATTTTTTAGTATAATAAAGTATTATAAAATAATAAATTAGTCTTTTGAATAACATGGAGTCAGATGCATCATTCCTGCCTTCATCGGGGCATTCCCTGCAAATACAATAAGGGGCTTTTCCCGTTTTTCTTAGATCTTTTTCTCCAAGGAGAGCTCTTCCATTCAGCTTTGGAATCAATATTCCTGTCTGGAGAGACAGCAGCCAGGGAGCAGGGTGAGGATGATGTGGTGGCTGGTTACCTATCCAGTGTGGAAGGTGTCTTGGAGGACATCAGCGAGGTGAAGGCCCTGGAGAGCGGAGTTCACCACGAGAGCCTGCAGTACCTGGGCCTGGTCGACTGCGTGGCCAAGTATCAGTGAGTGCCCTTCCTAAAACCCCTGTGCTGTGATGCTGTGGGGGCCAGGGTGTGATTGTGATTGAGTGGACAGATCTCTAGGACTGGCAGGCTCAAGAAACTCCCCTGGATGATCCTCAGTGCTGTTTTCCTGGTGGGGAGCTTCCTACTGGAAAAGGGACAGGTTCAAGCAATTGTCTGCATTTTCCAGAAACTGCAGCAGGTTTGAGTAATCTAGTTCTAGTGTGGTTTTTAGGATCTAAACTGCCAGTGTGAAAGAGACTTGTTTAGTGACATCATGGGGAAACAGGCTGAGAGTGAAAAGTCTTTATGTGCTGTCTCCCTTATTTCTTACCTGAGACTGAACTTAAGTTTAAGCCATTGTCCTGTCTTGTTCTCCTGTGCAGGGGCCAGCTGTGTGTGATCGACTGGAAAACTTCAGAGAAGCCAAAGCCATTTCTGCAGAATACTTATGACAACCCATTGCAGGTTGCAGCATATATTGGAGCCATAAATCATGATGCCAACTATAACTTCCAGGTCAGTAGGCCTGCTGCATGCCAAGACAAGCAGCAATGCCTGTGTGATCCTCATTTCTTCCTGCCTTTAGAATCTGCTGCCCACCATGGAAGTGTTGGTAGGATTTGTAACAAAGGAGCCCAGTCTGAGATCAGGTTAAGGTGTCATACTGTGAAATAATTCCACTGCTCCTGCTGATCCTGCTGCCCTTGGCTGCCAGTGGTGAATTTTCAGTGGTTTTAAGGAAGTGCTCAGTGGGAGCAGGGGATGCTCAGATGAACTCCCAGGTACTTGGCATGTGGGCAATCCCCTGTGCTCTGTCCTTGTGTCAAGAGTAGGAAGGGGCAGGAGAGGAAATAAAGCAAAAGAACCTGCAAACAATGAAATGGTGTGGGAGGGTCTTGCCTGCATCCTGTCCTGCTGTGTCCCACTAGCAAATGAGGGACTGAGTGATGCACTTGGTATCTGGGGGCTGTACTGTGTTTCCTCAGGGAAAAGCAATGTTGGAAATCACTTCATCAGAAGACTGTGGAATAATGTTTTTAAAGACTCCAAAAGCAGTTCTAGCCTGCCTGCTTGGCCTGAAGGATTTTTGCCTCAGTACAGATATTGAAGGGGGAAAATACAAAGCAGCAGAGAGCAGGGTAATTTGTATGCTGTGCAAAGGACTTTCTAGGATACTGTGGAGGTAAATGAACACAAGCACTCCACAGACATGATCCTGACAGAGTGAAATATGGCCTGGAGTTCTGCTAGTAGCTTCCTGCCCCCCACTGCCAGTGTCTGCTTGGGATTTGGGATTTGCCAGGTATGAAAGATGTCAGAACATACCTAAGTAACCATTTCTGCCCAGACTGAAGCTGGAGGGTGGCATCAACCTGGTTGTGTGGCCCCAGGCAAAAACTCCTCAGTCTCTGGCAATTTTCCTGGCATCTGCAGGGTTTAAATATCACTCATCCTCAGAGTTCATGTCCCCTGGTTTTCACTGGAGCTTTGGGCTGGGGGTTTTTGGAGCATTTGAATGTTAAGTCTCCAAGTGTTTATTCCCCATTCCTTATGTGAGCTGTGCATGTTGGAAGCTGTTTTGCAGTGAGGTTTAGCTCCTAGGCTTGCACACAGGTTTGTGACAGCCCTGTTTGTGCTGCAGGTTCGCTGTGGGCTCGTGGTGGTTGCCTACAAGGACGGATCCCCGGCACATCCGCATTTCATGGACCCTGACCTGTGCTCTCAGTACTGGGACAAGTGGCTCTTGCGCCTGGAGGAGTACAGGGACAAAAACTGACCCAGGCTGAGCACAAGCAAGTGGCCAGAGGCAAAGGAAGAACTTTTTTTCATGTTCTTTTTTGTGTAACTTCAGCTAATTTCTTACTAGCCAGGCTCCCCTCTCACCCCTCCCAAAAAGTAACTTTCAAATGGGGAATATCTATTTCCTTGTATTGTAGGTGACCTCAGTGGTCCAGGCAGAAAAAAGCCAATTTATTTGGCCTCTCTTTTTTTATCCCACGCAGTTTCTACAGCCTGGGGTTGATAGAAAAGTTTCTACTATCAAGTAAAACTGCTTGATCAAATCATCTTTTTTTCTTTTCCTCAAAAATCACAAATGAAAGTTGCAGAACTGAGTCTTTAAAAACGAAGTTGGTGAACTAAAGCAAAAGAACATCTGTGATGTATGAGCTGAGAGAAATGCAAATGATAAAGAAGTGGATGTAGTAGACTGGATTTCAGTCAATTCTTGTTCATGCTATCATAATAACAAGTTGTTATTTTTTGTGGTTTATTATTATTATATTATTTGTGGTTTTTCTTTGTGGTTTTTATTTGTGGTTTTTCTTCCAGCTACAGCTGGAAAACCTGTGCTGAGTTACAGTGAAAGTCCTCATTAGTTCTCATTTAGAACAGTACAGCAAAGTGGCCACTTAGCAGAAGTGGCTCAGCAAGAGAGGAGCAGAATTGGAGCCAACACTCCCAGAAATTTCCAGCGGGTGTTCTGAGAGGTGGGAATGTTGGCTGCTGCCAGTGGCTCCTCCTGCAGGTGTTTTACACCCAGCCCACAGAAAAGCACTGAGAGATGGGCTGTGTGCCTTGGCTTGGGAGCTCTGTGCTGCCACTGCCTTGAGCTCCCCTGGCTCTGCTGTGGGCCTGAGCACACGAGGAGCCCATCCTGTATAACCATCCCCAGTGCCACTGAGTGAGCTTCTGTATCAAAGCAGAGCCTTCTGAGGGGTGAAGAGCTGCTGGTTGGGTTTTGGGGACTGTTTTTTATAGGTTTCTCTTTGGTTTTTTGTTGGTTTTTTTTTTTTTTCAAATAAGTTTGTGAATAAATGTTTTGAAACAGAATTTTTACTTTTGAAGCACATAAAATCAAGTCTGTAAAGCAGAGAATAAGCCTTGATCGTGTCAAGCAGTATTGTTCTGAAAATGTTTTTTCCTCATTCTCTTTGTCTTGTATGACCTGTATGTGTGAGTTTTCACAATAACACTGCAGCTTACAAATGAAGTCATGCCCAACCCCCGAGCTTTAAGGAAATCAGCCAGAACCCCGTGCCTGAGGAAGGCTGCCAGCAAAGGCAGTTTGTGACCCTCAGTCCCAGTGAGTCTGTACCTCATGGAGCCAGGAGGAGGCAGACAGCCTTCAAAAACAGCAGTGCTGGGAGTCACTGTGTCTGGCACCTCTGAGAGCCTGGCTGCTGCCTTGGGCAGCCCTGGCTCAGCTGTGGAGCGTGGCTGGAGCAGCACAGGCTGGTTTGTCCTGGAACAGGACTGGCAGGTGCCTGTCACGGTGTCACACAAACCCAGAGACACTTTGTGACCAGTTTCAATGAAGCTGCCAGACTGTTACAGTGATGCGCCCAGGGCACTGCTGCAGGCACTGTCTGTCCTCTGCAGAAAAACTTGCTGGGCAGCCAGGGCACTTAGTCCAGCTCTGCCATCCAGAGCTTCACTCTCCATCCAGGATGGCTTTTTCCCTGTGGCCTGCTACCTGCTCCCTTTCTCTTTTGTTGTGAATCCTTTCTGTGCCCAGCTCACTGTGCCTGTGCTTCTGTCAGCAGGGATGTGCTGTGGCACTTACACTGGAGGGAGAGCCAAAGCAACACATGGTGCAGGAGGAACAAAAAACCAACACAAAACATGGCTCTCGCTGGAGAGGAAGGGTTCAGCCCCAGCTCTGCTGTGCCAGGGAAGGGCTGAGGTTTCAGCAGAGCTGAGCACACAAATCCCATGCAGTCAGGTGAACATTAATCCCACTGCAGAGTGAGCAACCTTCCCTTTACACTGCTCAGTTACAAGGCCTGGGGGTCAGTGTACAAGCTTTAGCTTTCTGCAGTCAGGATCTTCTCATTTACCTCAGATGTTTTCTTTTCCCATTTATTAAAGTATTCTACAAACTTTCCTGCTACATATTGGATAAGTTTGTTCTTAACACAGTAGCATCACTTTATTATCCTCATTTTCAAGGTCTCAAGCACCAACAGTTGTGCTGAATAAAGCATTAACATCCTTAGGAAGGTGTTAAGACCCCTAAAATCCTTTCCCCACAAAAACTCAAGCAGGTGCCTGTACAAAAACTGAAGTTGAAAAGATTTTTTTACAATTCTTACAAAGTTGCTCAAAATATCTCATTTTAGCAGCAATGACTGTAAAAGTCCTGACTTGGTATTTTAGGTGGGAGGAGGCTTCTACACTTAGAGTGGTCACAGAGGAGCAGCCAGATTGGTGCCTGCAGCTTTGCACTGATCTCCTCAAGCAGACACAGGCTCAATCCCCCTTTCCATTGTTGTATTAATGAACAGGCACTTGAATATAAAAGACAAAAAAAAAAAAAAAAAAACAAAAACAAACACACACCATAAAATATGCACAAAATTGCATTTCATCATGACAGAAAATACTTAATTTCAAGTCATTACAGTGCTTTCTTTGGGTTTCTGGGTTGCTGTTGGTGCATATTAAAATGACGTGGTAATAGTCCTCCAAGTGAGCGCAGCAAGTCCAGGAACACCAGAGCTAAGATTTCACTTGTATATCAACATGATAAAAGTAAGTTCATGGCTTCAAGTACTTAAAACACAACCAAAAGTCTGCTCTAGAATAATAGTGGAGAAATTTTGAGAAGAAAACATTCTGCATCCTTTGGGAAGAGTTTCAACTCACCTTGGATCACACTTCCATGAATTGTTAGCAGGCTGCACAGGGGGCAGAGCTGAGGGTACTTGCACTTTGTAGCTCACTGGATGATACAATGCACTCCTGCTCTTAAGGCACTTCAATTAACATTGCATAGAACCGAGTACCAGCAGCACTCTTACCCAACACTTGCCACCCAAACCTCTCATAAGTAATTTGCATGGGAGGTAGCAGTTATTCACTTTACAAAATACACTTGGGGAAAGGTGAACTCTCATTTGTCAGGGGTGTTCAGACCTGGCAGAAAACAGGCTGCCCAAATGCCAGTTCAGTAAATACGCCATCCGAGAGGCGACAGCCTTTGCAAGCATTCCGTTTTTATTGGCCAGATAAAAATAAAAAAAAAAAGTCTGAATGGGAATATTTCTGTCAAACTGAGGTTTTACCAACATCAAGAGTCCCGTTAACAAAAGCATCCCTTTAATAATTTCAGGCGTTTCTTTCAAAATAGTTCTTAAAAAAATAAGATCCGTAGTCCTGCATGTAAACTTCATTCCCGCCGAGCGCCGGCGAGCGTCACTCGTCCTTGCCCTCCTCTTTGGAGTTCCTCTGCAGCACGGGGCTGAGCTTGGTTTGCAGAACAGCTGCGAGTTTTTTGGAGGTTTTCTTCAGGAAGGCGCTGCCGGGGTGGACGCCGCTGACGTGCAGGTACAGCTCCTCCTGCGTGGGGCCCGTGTAGCCGCAGTCCTCGCACACGTACAGCTTGTCCCTCCTCTGCTTGTAGGCGTAGTGCTGCTGCACGCCGTGGATCTTCCGCAGGTGCGACTCCAGCGAGCAGCGCTGCGTGAAGGCCTTGTTGCAAACCTCGCACTTGTAGGGACGAATGCCTGCAGGGGGAAAGACAGAGGTTACTGTGGCGTTCCTGAAAAGTCCCTTTACTCAGGGCTTTTCTCCTAGGAAGCTGAGAAGCCTCAGAGAAAAAGGAGAACAATTATTGTTTCATTTGCTTTTCTTGTGTTGTGCTCACATGTAGATTGTTTACCCACAGGTGATTGTTTCATTGGATTTGGTGTGAGTTGTTCTCCCTCGCTGGCCAATCAGGGCCAAGATATGTTGGGACTCTGGAAAGAGTCATGATTTTTCATTATTATCTTTTTAATATTCAGTAAATATCCTTTCTGTATCATGTAATGTAATGTAATGAAATATAGTATAATATAGTGATATAATATAGTATGATATGGTATGATATTAATATAATGTGATATACTACACTATGATATACCATACCATACTATGATATACTACACTATGATATACCATACTATACCATACTATGATATATGATATGATATGATATAATAATATAATATAATATAATATAATATAATATAATATAATATAATATAATATAATATAACATTTAGCCTTCTGAGAGCATGGAGTCAGATGCATCATTCCTCCCTGCCATGAGGGTTCCGGCAAATACAATAGGTCGTGTCACCTGTTGTGTCACCTGTGTCTGGTTTCCTACAGCCAGCCAAGAGCAAGGCTCTGGCACACCAGCTGCTGAGATATCCAGCAGCCCAAGGAGCTGCCTGTCTAAACAGAACATCCTCCTTTTAGGCTATGGGTTTATAGATTTAGGCATAGAAAACCTAGGAGTTATCCCCAGCAGGTGCTGAGGATAACAGATGCCCATCAGTGGTTCGGTCCTAAGGTAGCAACCATCAACTCCTGCAAAACTTATTTTATTTTTTATATATATATTTTTTTAACTTTTTATTTTTATCCTGACTGTTTGAAATCCTGTGATTGGACAAAACTATCCATTTCAGCTTTTATAATGAAGGAAAACTTCTGTCTTGATAAAATTTTAATTTTTCTCCTTGGTTTAACAAGGCTTCAGTGAACAGCAGCAATCCCAAGTACTTTCATACCATACAGTTTTGATGACTGAGATTACAAATTCTAGAGAAGTGCAGGAAGATGAAAGAAATAACTCTGTGTGTTTCCAGAGGAGGGAGAAGAAACTGGCTTGTGATTTGAAAGCCCAGACAACCAACACCACAAAAATCAATTTTACCACCAATCAACGCTGATTTAACAACTCCCCCAGTGCTTAAAGAGCTGAGGATTTAGCAACACTTGAAAGAACCTAAACCAGCAGGAATTCTAGTTACTAGACTAGATTAGTAAGTTTCCAAGCAAAGACCACCCTTAAAACTGATAAAAGGAGTCGCCTAAACCCCTCTTTTCCCCAGGGAAGGTGGAATGCCAGAATCTGGAAGACCCTATGGTGAGCCAGGCAGAAATGGGTAAACCTGATTGCTCAGACAGTTGTAACTTTGTGATTGCATGGAGTTACCAGTCAGGACCTGATCTATCCACCAGAAATCCAAGCTAATTAGAAGTTCCAATAAGCAGCATCTCAACTGCATTTTGGTTTAGTTAAAAGAGGTTATCCCAGTGCACCAGATTAAACTATCAAGACAGAAGTTTCCTAATGCCTGCTGATGTGAAATTGCTTAATTTCCATTCATTAAACTGCAGTTGGAGAGAAAGCCCAAACCTTCACTAGAATTCACACACAAAAAGCAGTTTTGTGCTAATTTGAGGCAATTTAAACCTCCACCATCCTTGGTGCCTGCTCCAGCACTCCACAGGCAGGAACACAACACAGAAAGGGCAATGCCGGGATGGCACAGCCCATTAAGGCTGAGGGAACCTCTTCATCACTTAGGAATCATTTAAAGTCATTTAGGAATCATTTTAAATTATTCTGACCAGAGACCTTCTTGGGTTTATTTTTTGACTCTAATGAGGAGACAGCTTGAAAAATCGCTTCTTTTGGAAGCACTGATTCCATAGCCCAGTGGCAGCTCTCCTTCCCACATGAAATCTTTGCAAACAAACCCAAACAGCCCAAAACATTGGCTCCAGGCAATGCCTTCCCATCCAAACAGGTGCCATTGGTTTGGGGGCTCTACTGCTAAGAAACAGCTCCTGCCTAAAAACATCCTTGTGTCACTTCTAGCAGTTCACCTGGTTAAAGAGGCTCTGCAGAGCAAGCCCAAATGATCTCCAGCTCCCATTGGGTGACCACACGTCTGGGAAGATGGGATGTGCCTGTGAGATGTGGTGGATGCACCACCAACAGTGCAAAGTCAAAGCCTGCTGAGCTCAGCCAGCCTGGCCACCAGGAAGAATTGCCCTTGGAGAGGATGGGGTGGATGTTTATTTAAGCCATTGCTTCCAAGGAAAAATAAAAATCCAATCAAACTGGCAGCCTTCTCCCTGCTCCAAACTGGGGTAACAACTTGTGGGAAAAGTGAGCTGGATTTGAGGCAACAGAAACACAACCACTGTGATTTGGGATGGACTCAGGAACTGACCCCACAGCAGACAGACAGCACATCCTGCAGCCTGGGGGAGGCACAGCATGAACCACACTCTGCTTCCTCCAGACATTTCCAAAGTCAAGCCAGAATCCCATCCTGATGGGAAGAAAGCATTCAATAATGAAGGCATTCGAGATTTTCCTGCTGGGTGAAACCTTCACAATCTCCTTGCAATCAAGTGAGGGATTTAATGTGCACAGCTTGGGACTGAGGCATCTCTGGCCAGCTTGGATTCAGGGGTTAAAACAAATTCTGTGCAGTGGTTTCCTTGCAGGGGTAGCAACCCTTATCTGGCTACGTCCATGAACACAAGGACTTAGGCTTTGAGCACCTTTCTTGCTCCTGCTGACACCCTGGATGGAGAAGGGACGTCCTCTCTGGTGCCAGAGTTGTTTTATGCTCTGCCTTCACCAGTCACACCTCCAACTGCTCCAGGTCCCTCAAAAACCATCCTGCACAGCAATCCGCTGGAAAAGCTCCCAACAGCAAAATCCCCAGGAAACTGCTGCTCGTTGCCTCTAGAGGGCAAAGCGTTTTCATGGAGCTCCTGCACGGATAACTGCAGCGATTTGCTGTCCCGGGGTGGTTATCCCAGGCAAGTTATTGGGGGGTAATCCCAGGCAGGTTATTGGGGAAGGGGGTTATCCCAGGTGGGTTATCGTGGGGGTTATCCCAGGCAGGTTATCTGGGGGGGGGGGGGGGGGGGGGGTTATCCCAGGCAGGTTATGGATAGTTGTCCCAGTCAGGTTGTCCAGGGGGGTTATACCAGGCAGGTTATCCTGGGTCGCTATCCCAGGCAGGTTATCTGGGGGGGGGGGGGGGGGGTTATCCCAGGCGTGTTGTTGGGGGGGTTATCCCAGGTGGGTTATCCTGGGCTGTTATCCCAGGTGGGTTATTGGGGGGGTTATCCCAGCCTCACTGCCCCAGGCATGGCAGCACGGGGCTGTGTCTACACCAGGTGTGGATGTCAGGTCCTGCACCCTCACTGCTTCACAGGGATTGCAATAGTTCTACTCGGATTTCTTCATTCCCAGGACTTTTCTCTGTCCACACCGCACACACTCTGTCTTCGCATTTTCTCCACTGCATCCCCACAATTTTTGGCAAATGTTGTTAACCAGGCCCTCATGTTATGATCTCACCAGGTCACCCTCACCTTGTGCTTGTCCCATCCCACCCCTTCTCCCAGAGCCTCCCGCGGGTCCCCAGGGATCCCATTCTCACCAGTATGGGTCCGGACATGCCTCTTCAGATCAAAGGTGTCGTTGAAGCCTTTTCCACAGAAGGTGCACAAGTGTCTCTTCACCTGGCTGTGGCACTTGATGTGCCGGTTGAGCATCCTCTGCAGGCGGAATCCTTTGCCACACAGCTCGCAGCTGTGCAGGGCAGCATCGGTGCAGGTGCCCGTGGTGAACTGGGGAGTGGGAGAGGAGGACTGTGTGAGCATGGGGATGAACCAGCAGGGGGAATAAAGCAAAACAAGCAGGGCTTATTGTGGCATTAAAAATTAAAAAAAAAAAAAAATGGGGGGAGGGGTATATTTAAAAAATGAAAAGTGAACGCACTGAGGATTTTCCCGCTGGGTGAAACCTTCACAACCTCTTTGTGATCAAGTGGGGATTTATTGTGCACAGTTTGGGACTGAGGCATCTCTGGCCAGCTTGGATTCAGGGGTTAAAACAAATTTTGTGCAGTGGTTTCCTTCCAGGGGTAGCAACCCTTATCCAGGTACATCCATGAACACAAGGGCTTAGGCTTTGAGCACCTTTCTTGCTCCTGCGCTCAGCTGATGCCCTGCATGGAAAGGGAAGTCCTCTCTAGTGCCAAAGAGCTGTTTTATGTGCTGCCTTCACCAGTCACACCTCCAACTGCTCCAGGTCCCTCAAAAACCAGCCAGCAGTGATAAAAAAGGTGGTTTTGGAGAGATAAACCCCAGGCACGTTGTGCTGTCTCAGCAAAGACTGAAACAATGGCCCTAATCTCGCCCTGTTGGTGTCTCGTTAATTAATAGCAAAGTGACATTAGGGGGTAATCTCATTCCCACTCCTGGCACCAAAAGCATTGTGCCAGCACCATGACATAACTTGACTAAAGAAGACACTGATGATTCAGCTCCTGGGAAGATCTGGAATGTCTGGAAAATGTAAATACTGCGCTGCTGGTTTAATTATTCCTGGTGGAACCCATGGACATGCCCCCTGTTGGATGCCAGAGATGAGGGAAAGCCAGCAGAGCAGACAGGACCACATCCATCGGCTGAAAAGCCCAGCTCTGCTGAAAGGTTTTGCTGTGACAGTCACAAACAGCCCAGGTTAAATTATACAAAGTGGGTTAAAGTCAAACAGCAGCAGGGCGGGCTTTTCACAAGGACAGGAATACATCTGGGGTTTCTTTTTTCCTGAAGAGCCAGATATTTTTCCCGGTCCTCCTCCTCTGCTTACTACTGAAGCAAGGCTACTCGAAATTGTGAAGAAATATTAAAAAAACCCGGCAGCTGTGAAACCACGAGGTGTGAAACTGGAGGGGGAGCCATCTGGGAAGAATCTGTTGGGCAACACCGCTGTGACTCCACCTCAAGCAGCTGCATATAATCGGGGTGAAACCCAATCATGGCACCTCAGAACGCGGCGACAGAAAAGCTGTCAGCCCGGCACAGACAATGGTAATCTTTACAGCTCCATCCCGCACAGCGGCAGCCAGGGTTTAACGAGGTGTTAACCACCAGTGGTAAACACATCTCCTGCCTAGCGCTGGGGTGGCCTGGGACACCCTGGATGCTCACAGAGGGATCGGAAGCTCGCTCGGTGTTGGATTCTCAGGTACCACGAGGATCTGAGGCACCATTTGCCTTCTCCCAGCCTTGGGAGGGAGGGAAATCACTGCAGTGCTGTGCTGGCTGTGCAGCCAGAGCTCCTGCCCCTCAGCAAAGTCCGTGGGCAGATGATTGCTCCATCTCACCCAAGCCTGCAGGTCCGCCTCAAGGTGGCAATGGAGGAGAACCTTTATCTGCTCTCTTGATAGGTCGTGGTGGGACAGGGGGCAGCGTGAAGGGTCACCCAGCCCTCCTTGGGGAAGGTTTGAGCGCAGCCCAGCAGGCAGCCTTTAAGGAGGCCCCACGCTGAGGAGCACAATCCACCCACGCCCCGTGGGGCACGACTCCGTGCTGCCAGGGCTGCTCCTTCCCGGCTGGTTCAGAGCTCCTGTGGGACCCGAGCCAAGCAGGTCAGGGGCAGCACATCCCGGGCAAGGATAAGAGAAGGCAAAGGGCGCTGGAAGACTGTGGCACATCGCTTACGGGGCTTTCCCTGCCGCTGCCACCCCACAGCGGGCTGGCCTTCACCTCGGTGTGCGGGACAGCTGCTGTCACCACTGTGCGGGACTGTTGTCACCTGGTGTCCCCGGGCAGTGCCAGGCCTTGACCTTGAGCAGGGGTCACCCCAGAGATGGTTGGGGTGTGGGTGTAGGCATTTACCTTGATTTTCGACCTGACCACGGGCCGCTGGCCGGCCAGGTCCAGCAGCACGGCGCCGCCCGCGCCCAGCTCGCCGGGGGCAGCCTGCGGCGTCGGGGGATCGCTGGGCTCGGCGTCGCGGGTGCCGCCGCTGCTGCTACCGCTGCTCTCCAGGCTGCAGCTGTCCTCGTAGCCCAGCAGCACGCAGCCGATGCCGCCTGCGGAGGGGTGGGGATGCGATAAAGCGGGGGGACCGCGGGCAGGGCCGGGCAGGAGCCGGCGGGCCGCGGTGTTTAACCTGCGGGCGGGCCGCTGGCGGCGGGGGAGGATCCCCGGCTCACGCTGCAATCGGAAACTCAAACACGAACGGTCCCAAAGTTCAAACAAGCCAGCTCCGCCGCCTTCCCGTTATACCCCGGGCAAGGGCAGGAGGAGGAGAGGGGGAGGCCAGGAGTACATCACCCCCACCCCGCCCGCCCTGGGTCCTTCCTTCTCCTCCTCCTCCTCCCCCAGCCACCTTTCTCATGCAAACGAGGTTTCCCACCTTCCTGGACACACACACACACACACAGGGACATTCATTCCCCCCCAGATCCGCTCCCCATCCCCGGGTGGGACTCGCTGCCCGGCGGGGCTGGCACCGCTGTCCGGGCATGTTTCCCCCGGAGCGCTGTCCCCTCCGCTGCATTTCACCCAGCTCTCTCTAAAGCCGCTGCCCGCCCCCTCGGGGCTCCCCCGGCCCGGTAAATCCCCCTTCCCCCGGGTCTCCCGCTCCTCGGAGCGCCGGGACCCCGCCGGCTCCGTCCGTCCGGGCCGTACCTGGGATGTAGGTGTCGGCTCTCTCCTCGTCGGGCAGCCCATCCCAGCTGCGCACGGCGGGCTGCGGGCTGCGGCGCTTCACCAGGAAGGCTCTGGGCATGGCGAGGGCACGGCTGGGCACGGAGCGGAGCCTCAGCCCCGCCGCCCGCCCCGACGGGGCCGCGCTGCCGTCCGGGGGAGCGGGACCGCACGCACCGGGCAGAGCCGCGGAGGCGCGGGGAGGGGAAGGGGAGGGGAGGAGAGGGGAGAAGGGTGGGGGGGGTGGGAGGAAAGTTTCATAAGGTGGAATAGAAAAATGCACCAGGAAACTTGGGAAGGAGCATGCGTGCTGCAAACATAACGGTGTCAACAAGTCTGCTTACCTGTCCGACCGGTTGGAGCAGCTGAGCTTTGTTCCAGCCCTTCCTAAGGCATGAATGTTTGCAAAAGAATTTAACGTCTGAAAATAAAAAAAAAAAAATAATAAAAAAAAAAAGGAAAATAAAGGAACAACACAAAACCAAACCAAAAAGCCAAGAAGCGGGGAGGGAGCCCCGCCACTGCTACCTGCCCACTGGCGGAGCCCCCGCAGGGCCGGAGCCGCTGTCCCTCTGTCCCTCTGTCCCTCTCTCGGCCGCCGCACCGGGATGCCCTGCCGGGAATGGGGGCCGGGATTTGTCCCCGTTCCCCCCTCGGGGTCCGAGCAGAGCCCCCCGGGAGTGCCTGTCGAGGCGCCGGGAAAGAGGCCGAGCTGTCCTCGGGGCAGCAGCAGCACGAAGAGAAAGTTCTTATTACTTTTCTCAATGATTAGCCTTTCTTCTGTTCAGAAAGAAAGAAAAAAAAAAAGAAAAAAATTAATTTACAATTTATTCTTTTTCAGTCATTGATTTAAAATTCAAAACGTGTCACAGCCTTTTCTCTCCCCCCCCCCCCCTTTTTTTTTCCTTTTTTTCTTTTATTTGCCTCTTGTCGTCTTCCCCCTCTTCCCAAAGTGGAAATGAAACAAAGACGAGAGGTTAGGGTATTGGGGAAGGAAGCAAAAGAAACAGAAGAAAACCCACAAGAAGTCTGCGAGCCGAGCAGAGCCCGCGCCTGGCTGGCCTTGGGTGTTTAACAACGCTCAGGGATCCCTTCTCCCGTCTCCTGCTCAATCTGATTTCTTATTGAAAGCCGTGGAAACGCGCTCAGTGCCTCCGTCCCCAGGCACGGGGCCGGGGCAGCTGCGGGAATGAGCACCGGGAGCCGCTTCCCGGTTCCCCACCCAAGGAAGAGGCCTTTCAAACGGAGTCACTCCTTCTGGGGGAGCCGCTTTCCCTCCACGGGGCAGAGCACGGACCACGGGAATTGATGGGAGTTTCACGGTCGGTTTCATTGAGACCAAGGCTGAACTTCAGGGGCTGGAATGGAGCCTCCGGAAGGAGCAGCCTCCAAGATCAGGGCCAGATGAGAGAGCTCTGCTGGATGCCGATGTCCCCGTTGGTGTCCTGGAGCCCCAGGGCACAGCTCCAGCCCCACATCAGGTGCTGCCCTGTCAGAGAGCTCCTCCAGCAGCCCGGATCTCCACCAGGGTATTCCAGCACTTTTTGCTCCCCCTGCTCCTGTGGGGAGTTTACATTTTCCGCAGGTACCAGGTGGGAAGCCACCTCAGCATGGCTTGGGGCAATACCTCAGCCAGACCGCACATAAAACCTTCCCTTTCTCTCTTTCTCTTTCAGGCTATGTAATTTTTCTGTTATGTCTGAGATTTTGCTCCAGGACAAAATACAGCTATGTGGGGCTTAATTGATTTCTTTTTTTTTTTTTTGCAGTGCTTTCAACTTGAGGTTTCTTTTATTTTAAGGACTCCTCTTCTTTTAAGGCAAAAGAGGTAGAAAATGACATTAATCAGTGTGCTCTCAAGCCAAGAGCTTGCTGAGAGGACTTCACTGTCATCTGGGCTTTCTCAAATCCTGCTTTGAGGTTCTCACTTAATGAGGTCCTGGGGCACACACTTCACTTCCAGTGGGTGCTCTAAGTCAGACGTGCAGTTACAAGCACGGCTGAATCAGGAATAATAACAGTAAAAACAACAATAATAATAACAATAATAATATCATCATCAGCTCTGGAGCCTTGACATGAGCGGTCAGGGCTGGGCTGTGCCCAGCACCACGGGAGACACAGAGTGGAGAGAAAGTCCTGCAGCCTCTGGCAAGGTAAGTGGAGCTGGGTGGAGAGGCACCAGCTCCATGAAGGAGGGCATTCCAGAGGCAGTGGGCTGCCCACGTGCTGAGCCACCAGCTGGAAATGCAGACTCCTGATGGTTGGTGCTGCTTGGCCAGAGCCCATAGGAAAACCATCCTGCCTTTCCTACAAATGCCATCCCTTGGTATTTTCTAACCTGGAGGAGCCTGAGGAGCGTGCTCACAGCATGACCCCACCAACACCACATGCAGCACCATGAAATGGGATTTTTGGGGATCTTTGGGGATCCTTGTTGTGAGCAAGGCAGCCCACAGACATATCCCTGTATGGCCATGTCCTTCTCCATGCTCCCACTGGAGCAATGCTGCATGCACAGCTTCAGCACTGTAATTAAACTCGATAAATAATGATGCTAACAAGGTAATGGCACAAACATTTCTGTAGGATCTTGTGTAATTTTCAGCATTACTTGGGTGTGGGAGAAAACCTAGCGCGTTAAATTAATATTTTGGGTGTAAATCAAATTAAACGTACAAAACGCCCCGTAGGGTCAAAGCACAGTGGGACCCACCCTTATGGATTTGACTACTAAATACTAAAATGTGTTTCACTTCACTCAGATCACTTGGGAGTGAGGAGGGAGAGGTGGGATCAAAGAAAGAACCAGCCCTGTGTTGCTGTCTCAGTCACTTCCCAGACTAACCCTGGGTGGGGTTGGATTGGGGGTATGTGCAAGGGGCAGGGGATTCATCCTAAAGCCCCCCCTGCTGAAGGATGGGCTTGAGAGGAGCTCAGAAAGGAAGGCCCTGCTCAGGGGACAGCAGCTCAGCTTGGTCTGTGAACAGGGAATATCTCAGCTGTGATCCCAGGGAGCCCTGTCTGTTTTCCTCTTGCCTGGGCTGCTTTTCACCACCATCAGCACATGAGGCTGCAAAGGGACATGATCTGGGCAGGGATGAGGGTTTGATTGCCCAGCCCATCAGAGCTGGGGGTTGTTGAAAGGCACAGTCCCCCAGCAGTGCCAGGGAAATGCCTTCAGCATGGAATGCAGCAAAGGGACCTCCCTGCTCAGCCCCCAGTGGGATCCTGTCCCCAGCCATCCCTCCTCTGGCATGGGAATGGAGGGAGCCCAGCAAGTCTACCGGGGCTGCTCTGCCCTACAGTCACTCAGGACCCATTTTCTGGATATTTCTCATTATTTTGAGCCCATCCAGGCCAGACCAGAGATGAGAACCTGGCTGGTACAGCAGCTTGGCCAGGCAGCCTTTGGTTTCTGGCTCCCAGCAGAGCTCGGGTGAGGAGATTTATTCAAGTTTACTGACCATGCAGGAGTGGCCACAGCTTCATACCCTTGGGAAAACAAACCTTCATCTTCAGGGTCTGTAGTGTTCTTGCACACCAGGGCTGCTGCAAGTCACCCAAAAACCCAGCTGACACCCCCTTGGCTGGTGAGCCCTCACACTGCGCTCAAGATGCATTTTGGGAGAGATGGGGAAGAATCTGAGTGTCAAAGCCCTGGCAAAAGGCTCAGAAACCTTTGCACGGAGTCAAAGACAGCTGTGCCTCCAATTTTAGCCCTTGGAAAAATTTACCAACTTTGTGTGAGGATGTACAAACCGCAAAAGTTTGAGTATAATTTGTGAATTTATCACAAAGTGAAAAAGTAGAATTTTGAGGATTTAGAATGGAGGTTCAAGAGGCAAGATGAAGGAATCTGGGCGTGTCTTCTTCTTCTTCTTCTTCTTCTTCTTCTTCTTCTTCTTCTTCGTCTTTTTCATAATCTTCTTTTTCTTTTTCTTCTTCTTCATCTTTTTCTTCTTCTTCTTCATCATCTTCGTCTTCGTCTTCTTCTTCTTCTTCTTCTTCTTCTTCTTCTTCTTCTTCATCATCATCATCATCATCTTCGTCTTCTTCTTCTTCTTCTTCTTCTTCTTCTTCTTCTTCTTCATCATCATCATCTTCTTCTTCTTCTTCTTGTCCTCCATCTTCTGCTGTGATGGTGACACTTCTAGATTGGTTTAAAGTAGAGACAGACTGTCTAACATAAATATAAATAATAGGTACTAGAAAATTATTGTAAATAAAGTAGTTTCTAGTATAAAAAACTAACATGGCCCCAAGGGCGGTCAGTGTGCCTCAACCCGACCTGCCGGACAGACCTCAGCGGGTCAGACAGAGAATGTGTTAGATAAAAGAAAATAAACAACCTTAAAAACCGTGCTGGGTAAAAAAGACTCTTCAACACCTTGAGAGCCACTTCAGCAGCACAAACCGGAGCTCTGTGCCGCGGCTCTGTGTCCGTGAGGAGCCGAGGCGCTGCCGGGGATGCTGCGGCGCTGCCGCGGCGGCGGGGCTGACTCAGCCGGGCTTGGGCAGCGCCCGCCCCACGCACTGCACCTCGCCTCGCCCCAGGGCTGCTCCTGCCTCCCAGGGCCCCTTCCCACCTGAACACGGCTGCTCCTGCCTCTCAGAGCACCTTCCCACCTAAACACGGCTGCTCCTGCCTCTCAGGGCTCCTTCCCACCTAAAACACGGCTGCTCCTGCCTCTCAGAGCACCTTCCCACCTAAACACGGCTGCTCCTGCCTCTCAGAGCACCTTCCCACCTAAACACGGCTGCTCCTGCCTCTCAGAGCACCTTCCCACCTAAAACACAGTGCTCCTGCCTCCAGAGCTCCTTCCCACCTAAACACGGCTGCTCCTGCCTCCAGAGCACCTTCCCACCTAAACACGGCTGCTCCTGCCTCTCAGGGCTCCTTCCCACCTAAAACACGGCTGCTCCTGCCTCGCAGGGCCCCTTCCCACCTAAAACACAGTGCTCCTGCCTCCAGAGCACCTTCCCACCTAAAACACGGCTGCTCCTGCCTCCCAGGGCTCCTTCCCACCTGAACACGGTGCTCCGGCCTCCCAGGGCTCCTTCCCACCTGAACACGGCTGCTCCTGCCTCTCAGGGCTCCTTCCCACCTGAACACGGCTGCTCCTGCCTCCCAGGGCCCCTTCCCACCTAAAGCCCGGCCTTTGGGTGAGCACCAGCCCGCGGGGGCAGGGGGATGTCAGCACTGATGGGCACAGCA